AACCATTGCAATAGGTAAATATGTTGATGTGGTTAAATCCACATGCTTTAAAGAAAAAGATGCAAAACTCGGTGATCTTTAGGATCATCATCAATTATGTTTTAAGGATAGAAATATCAATACATATCATCGCAGAGCATTAGTATCCGGCAATATCTATAGATCCACGCCTCCCGATCCAACGCAGAATGTCTATAGTGTAGCACAATCTCCCTGTCATTTCCAGACTGGTATGTTTATACACATAATAACTATCGATTTTTAACGCCTTTGCTGTCCCTGCACGATGTCTTTACGCTGTTGTACGCCATCAATACAAAGTCTAGACTATATTTAACAGCATACATCCTTCACAGTTGCGGTGGGTGCGTAGGATCGGGTCATGGTCCAAGTGGTTCTGAAGGGGACACAGGCCTTGGAGGAAATGACCAATTCTAGGGGCTCCTTGGGGTAGTGTCTTGCTCAGGTTAAGCTCAATATTGGGTTGACGTGTTCATTTTTTTCTGTTCGTAAATCTTGCAATATGGATTGTTGTACTCTGTAAGACCATTCCCCAGATGCTGACTTTGGTTCCTGAGATGAGGAGAGGGGGATGCAAAAAAATGTGACCTTTCATGGTGTCACTTACACAGGAATTGGTAACACAAGAACTCGGGTTCTACGTATTATATGTCTGGTATTTCTTTTATTTCCTTCAGAAGCTCGGTTTTGTAAATGAAACATTTCTCTCCGGCTTTTCTCATGTTATGGATTTTGACAGTGTCACGGCGAGCATACTACCTCATACTAACGCGTATCAAGTCCTGCATATAATTCGTTTGATAATGAAATGCGTTATGTTGCCATTACGAGGTATACAGCATGCCCAGATAAGATTTCCATTCAGTGAATGTCCAGATAAGTTAAGCTGGTTCTTTTGAGAAAGAAACGTTTGCTACATATAGACAGTGTATGTTTGAGGGATCAGTGTTTCCAATTAATTACCTTGTTTTCTTGTGTTTGTTCTTTGTCAGCTGTTTAGCGTCATTAATCAGTTGCATTACTTCCAAGCAAGAGACCTGGGGGTTGGGTTTCCCGGCCTGGCACATGTTGCAATTAGCCGAGCGATGGCAATTCATCCATTGATCACCCAGACTGGAGAGAAACGCATGATGGAGGCCAGGTTTTCCCGCTAGAAATACGGCTTAGTTTACAAGACCTAACCAAGCTAATGATAGCAGTACTGCATCGGCATCAATGCTGCATGATAGATCTTATTTTCCTAGTTGGGAGGAGGGTTAAAACAAACCGGAAAAAAAATATATTAAGTGGGACATTGTATACGTCGGTTGTGTTTTGTTGCTGGCGTCTGAGCCTGTAGATTGATCATATGGTAATGAGAGATACAAATATCCAAATATCTCCCCATCAGATGGTTGGATCGTTGGCTCATCAATAGCCAAGCTTACTTGTTCATGCATTGTCTTTGTTCTTACCTTGCACCCAGCTTTGAAAACACAGCTAGTGAAATATTCTGGGAACTGCCCATAATTGGTACCAATGATTATGGTTATGTCAATACCTAACATAAAGTTCTAGATTTAAAACAAAATTAATCAGTTCGTAGAAGCAAGAAAGTCGTTATGTTGTGGTGGGGTAATGTACGTAATGTATGTGCTCTCATCTCAACCAGATGTCATTGTAGTGTGTAAATGTCGTTTTACGCCGCAATCAGAACTTTAGTTCTTCACGGTGGCGACCTGCAAGCGTTAGAGCCTGGGTCAGGAGAACCAGTGGTTGATATGAGGCCAGTCATTGTTTCGGGGTTCAGTTACCACATTGTAACTACCCGATCCTTATTTTATTTTATTTTTTTTGACGGAAAACTAGAACTGGGGAACCATTGACTGCGGACTGTCCACAGGTTTTGTGTAATTGTAATATTACATTTGTTAGTTCATTGCATCTGAAATTGAATATTGTACATCTGGAATTTGTTGATACATAGACATGAATATAAATACTTTTAAGGCACTGTTAGTTTTAAATATTATTGAAAGGGCTTCTTGTACATACATGTTACAAGTGCACTGGGAATGCCCATTGTTTGACATGACAATGCTTATTGTTATTCACCTGCAATAAATCGTTATCGTCAAAGATGCATCAACACATGCATCTGTAATATTAGAAATTACATGCTTTGGCTTAAGTCTATACCGTTACCATGGTTATTGTGGCACCTAATAATGGTATTTTTTATCCTGTGCAAAATTCCATTTGTTGTCGTTGCTTTCAGTCTACTCGGGCTGTGGCATCAATTATTGATGGTATTTACCGTTTCTCCGTACTCTCAAAGTAGAACATTTCTGTAATGTTAAAGTTGTATGTGTCATGAATTAACAGGCATTTGTGTAGAAGCAGGAGCCTATTACCTCCGATCCTTTTGTGGTATGAATGAGGCTGTGGTGCATTGAAATCAATGATGTTTTTTAAGGACTTGGACTGTTAATGTTTTACTCAAATGGCATTTCTGGTAGAGAGATGAACATGTAGGCGTTGAAAATAACTGTATGATATCACACCAATCATTATTTTCATAACTTTGTCTTTCACTCATCAACAGTGATTTGTTATGACAGCGCAAGTTTCACTAACACTCCTGGAATAGGTTCAAAGACTAGCGTCAGTTGAATTACTTTCGGGATAAGGTTATTTTTTTAAATTACCTCTTTTCATGTTTTCTTACAGACAGTAGTTTTCCCATAATCAAATCATTATCGTTTTATGGTTGCTATGGTAACCGTGTTTGGAGAAATTGATTACGCTGTAGATTTCTATAATCAGATGTCGGGATAGAGTGAACATTACAATCAAGACAGTGTCTCGTGTCTTGCCTTAAGCCATTGATACGTATGAATCTGTAAATTTTGCCAACAACAACAAGAACATCCATTGTTTTAGTAGATTTGTTTGACAAAAACGATAATAATATTTTTGGAAACGGTTGTTGCTATGCATATGGTTGGCTTTTACACTGTTACGTCGAAACATCAAGAAACAATACATGCTTGTGGAATTGAGGTGAGGTGAGGTGAAATGGGGTTAAACGTCGTGTCCAAGATTATTGCACTTATATTGCGATGTGCATGCATGTGTGTGTGTCTGTGTGGCTGCTTGTACTAGTTCCGGTTTTATAGTGCTAACCTACTGAGATACCAGGCCGCAGTTTAACACAATGCTTACTCAGACACAATATACTGACTCCGAGCCGACCAGTTCTTGTTTTAGTCCCGTAATGCCGAGCGCCAGGCAGGGTAACAACAAGTACCATTTGTTGACGTCTTTTGGTATGACGTGGCCGGGGATCGAACCCCAGACCGTACACCGGAACAATATTTTGTTTGTATAATAAGGTTATTGTGCTTCACCTGCCGTCGTATTGATAGGTTTAGCTGGCGTAATACGCTCCTCACTCATTCTCTTAACCTGATTATTTTGACTATCCGAAATATGGCCAATTGGGAGAAAGTATTCCGTACCGCGCTCATAATCCGTCTACCATATTGGCTGTATCTGATTGATATACACATGCATTAACTGTGTCCCCGAGATATCTCGGCAATATAACAACTCATTATCTGGTTCATATCCGACCATAGCTTATCAACATCGGCCTGCCCTTCACCAATCAAACACACGTAAAACACACTCATTCACCTTAATATCTAAATGATAGCAACAGAACACTTTCTGTAATTATAAGAAACCTTTGCACAGTGTCACTTGTCCGAATCCGACAATAACGAAAGCACATGTAATGCACTCTGAACAAATCACTACTTATCCGGGAAGGTCGGGTAGCCTAGTGGTTAAAGCGTTCGCTCGTCACGCCGAAGACCAGGGCTCGATTCCCGACATGGGTACAATGTGTGGAGCCCATTTCTGGTGTTCCCTCCGTGATTATTGGAATATTGCTAAAAGCGTCGTAAAACCAAACTCTCTCTCTCTCACACACACACATATACATGCGCATACAAATCTCAAATGCTGGCTCATTGGAAATAGATCAAATCATATCACAGATGGAACGTCATAGATCAAATCATATCACAGATGTAACGTCATAGATCAAATCATATCACAGATGGAACGTCATAGAATAAATCATATCACAGATGGAACGTCATAGATCAAATCACATCACAGATGGAACGTCATAGATCAAATCACATCACAGATGGAACGTTATAGATCGAATCATGTGGAACGTCATATGTTTACCTATTGCATGTACCAATAAATTACTATTCCCTATAACATTTTCACTAATCAGTTTCTGCTATTGTCACTCTTCGTATACTGAAACAAGGGCTACAAGCAGTAAACTTCATTGGGTGATTTGTTTTTTTATATGACGAATATATGGAACAACACTCAACTCCGTCCATGGCCAAATGTTTGTTTCTTGTAAAAAAGCAGCTCTCAGCAAAATTCCAGCTATATATCAGCGGTCTGTACAAAAATAAATCTGGACTAGTCAATCCAGGAGAGACATCAGGAGCATCGATTTGTAATTGGAATACGATGACATGCCTCACATGTATTCATGTTAATACTTTGGTCGTGTTTTCACGAATATAGTACAAGATATTTAATGCAAATAAAACATAACGAACGGAAGTAGTTGTCGGATAATATCACGTTTTGGAGATAGTTTTCCACATATCAAACAACCTTGGCAGTTATAAGTCGTTCGGAAGGGCTATTCACCATAAACGCCATTTGATGACAATCATTTGAGGAAGGTCGTTTTTTTTTTATTCGCTCGGTATATTTCCTCCAAATTGGCAGGATATGCCAGTTTGATGGCTTCACTAGGTACTATTGTTGAATTATTAATGAACTTATCATCATATGTGACTAAATGAGATTATCATTTGTGCGTGTAGTTGTTTTCAGAATGCATTACTGAGCTGAATGCCTTTCACGTATGCTCATTGTCCGAGTTTCTCTTCCAGTTATGGTGACATGGTGCCTAACACTATTACGGGGAAGATAGTTGGAGGTGTATGTTCTCTCAGTGGTGTGTTGGTGATCGCTCTGCCCGTTCCAGTTATAGTGTCCAACTTTAGTCGCATCTATCATCAAAATCAACGTGCCGATAAGAGGAAAGCTCAGAAGGTAAGTTCACTTTACCAAACCAGGGATATCAATATTAAACGCGATAAAACAATTTCTACATCATACAGACATCTCCACTGAAAGCAGAGTCCATTGTTCGATTCCTTATAAGCATGTGTTTTTGAATCACTATCAATTTGTGACAATACCAGGGGTTCGCGGAAAGGTAAGCATATCCTGCCCAATCGGTGTCACCCGTCACAAACACACGCAAGGCGAGGCAAGCGTTCATCTAAAAAACCCAAAACATTCAAAATAGGGAATTGAATCAAACATAATTTAGGTTCCTGACACTTCGCATTTGGAAATATCTACATGTCAACCACAAACTGTCTTACTATGCTGTAAACGTCGACAAACAACTTTTGTGCACCAGGCGTTTGCCGGTCTTTGAAATCTTCGCATTAACAGCAGGCTCGATTTTACCTCAAAAGTTTTGAAATGCCATCTGTCATTTTATAGTCTTGTGGATAGGATGATTACACTCTGATTATCTATGCGTGGACCTAAATGTATTATCTTCTATTTCTAATTCATGTGGGCATATCGGTGGAAGCGAATTGGCAATTTGAACACTATTGAACGATATAAGATTGTCATTAAATACTCGAAGCTTACGTTAAACGTCTTGACCATATTCCCTTGTTTTCATTTTGCCAATCGGACCAAATATTCTTATTCACATGTAGAAAGATACAGATCAGTGAGGTGGGAAGGGCATCTGATGCCCATGAGGATGCTGACCTCTTCCCTCAATGTACTAGCCCCATATTTTATCATACACATCCATGAGGAAGTCTACAACTTAGGAGGACATATGCTTTCATTTTTCACTTATTATCCCGAACCTTTGAGGTGAGGTGGTGGGGTGAAATGGGGTTTAACGTCGCGTCCAAGATTATTGCACTTATATAGCGACGTGCATGTACGTGTGTGTGTTTGTGTGGCTGCCTGTACTAGTCCGGACTTATGCCGATTTATAGTGCTAGCTCACTGAGATACCATGCTGCAGATTAACAAGAATACCCCACTCAGACACAGTATACTGACTCCGAGCCGACCAGTCCTTGTTTTAGCCCCTTAATGCCGAGCGCCAGACAGGGTAACAACAAGTACCATCTTTTAACGTCTTTTGGTATGACGCGGTTGGTGATCGAACCCCGGACCTTCCGCTCTCCTGGCGGACGCTCTACCACTAGACCACAGAGGCGGTCTGAGACAGGTTATTACCTGGCGTTAACGTGTTATATTTACGTCACTTTTGTCTTCCTCCCCCAAACGGCGTTAATCAAATAGTTACATTACTTTATGGAACCTGTCTCTTTGCTCGAGGGTTTAGGAGTAATAGTTTTACTGATCTGATTTGATGTTGATAAAGAGAAATGACGTCATCGTTGTATAACCATGTCACGTGATAACTTTATCGCATCATCAAAAACATTTTTTCAAACGTCAAACCCAGAATAGAGCTGACTATAGCCAGTAGTTTCTACCAGGGATCGGTTTGGATAATAAGTCTACTTTAAGGCGAAAGTATAACAAATTAAAATGTAGTAAAAACACAATCCCGAAGAATATGTCTATTTCTAAATGCATAGTATAATAAACACAATGTAAAGATAACAATTAAAATATAATATCTTACACATAAAAATATAATTATCAATCATTTTATCTTCTGGTGTTGTTGCTGGTATTCATTCAAAATACAAACAATATAAAGAAAGCTAGTCATAACTTGTTTTCGCTGAACGAATTAAAGAAGAAGAATTAACCAGTCCTTCCAGGAGTGAGCTAGGCCTGAAGAACGACCCAAAACGTATTTGTCATGATGGAAATCCCCGCCGCGCCGAAGATGAAAAATGCTCTGTTCATAAGATTAATTAGTATAATACAGACCATACACAATAGGGAGTTCTTAAAGACGGCAGATAACAGCGCCACCACTGCCACTTCATAGCCTCCAGGAACCTTTGGTTTCCAAGGATCCGGGGCTTGTCAGATGGTGCCAGCGCGGTAGCGAGACCGCCCCCAATCATGAAATTTTAAATCCTCGGAACAATTGGACGCAAACAAACATGTTTAGCAGAGTGTCGTGTTCATCGTGAATCGACTACCACAGAACAGCTTATAAATTATGTGACAGTTCCCCATGGGTTGCTGAAAGCGTACAATCGCCATGTCAGCGGATCTGGGAGTAACCCTTCACCTTGTTAATTCTCATTATTAAATCCGTTTCGCTTTACGTGGCATTGAGTGAACACGGAGAAGACACTTTTGTGGTATCATAACAAATCATATCTTTCAATTATGTTTTGTGATTGAGTTTAGTCAGTCGCTTGTTTCCTCCCTTTAAATTAAACAATTACTTGTCAATATATTTCGACTCTCATAATTGGGTTGCCGGTCCGTGTAGAATGCCTCTTACTCTCGAGGATTATAGTTTTCTGTGCACTAGATTACATTAGGCAGCAGCTCGTGTAAGTAAATGTCCACAGATGCGGATTTTATTAGCATCACATGCTCATACGCTGGTGGTAATTGCGTACGTTAAACGACTTCGATTCTCGGGGCATGGAGTAAGGGAGATAACCTATGTCCATATTTGTCCTATTGTAAATCCTTTGACTTAAGAACGCATGTTGACGTAACTATATTGTCAAACTTCTATTACTTTTCACGAATGGACAGTTATTCATACGTACCTTATCTAGACCCAATTTCAAATAGTTTACGCTTGAAATTAACGGAACTATTTCCTATTCTGACACTAAAATTGAATGATTTTCTCGGAAAACATGTCGCTAGCAAGGCTCGAATTCGTATTCTATAATTTGAGGTCGTGTAACCCAACCATAGCTACGTCGACACCACATAACAGAATGTTGTGAAATCAACAATTAAATATTTTCAAATATTGGTATCGTCTTTAAAAGCATATAAGATATCAATGTCAAATATAACATGTATAAAGCTGTATTAAATTATGTAAACTATAACGATTGTCGTCTTAAACTAATCAGATAACGTTGATGAAACAAATCTTTAAAAAAACAGTAGAAGCATATATGTCCTTCTCCGGGGCTCTAGTTTTCCTTTACCCCAATCAACTTGTACTAAAACGTACAAACGATTGATAAAATGTTCGTTTAGGTCCCCATTAAATACTGAAGAACCTTGAACCACGCATTATAAAGATCATCTCTCTACGGACTTCGTGCATCGTGATCGTCAACTGATTTATCGTGCAGCTAACGGAGGCAACTCACACAACATAAATACAGACTACAAACAGATCTGGTATATTTTTGAAATGTGTTCCACTAAAAATGTTTTGGTCAACGTCTAAACGTTTGGATATATTTTAAGGTTAGGAACTTAGGGCTGTATTTCATAATAAAGAACATTTTCGTAACTTTCGACTCGTGAATAAGAATCGCCTCATCCCTGTCCCACAGACATGACCGCCTCCGTGGTCTAGAGGTAGACCTTAATAGATGGTACTTGTTGTTACCCTGTCTGGCGCTCGGCAATAGGGGGCTGAAACAAGGACTGGTCGGCTCGGAGTCAGTGTCCTGAATGGGGTATTCATGTTAAACTGTGGCATGGTATCTCAGTGTGCTAGCACTATAAATTCATATCAGTCCGGCCTAGTACAAGCAGCCACTCACACGTGTATATACGTCGCCACGTAAGTGCAATAATCTTGGACGCGACGTTAAACCCTTTCACCTCACCTCACCCCATAGACGAGTATGTGCTCTGTAACACAACTGTTCTGTGGTGAAGGGACTTCAGGTAGTCTATTGGGTGGCTTGTTTGTTTGTACCAGGTTCAAGCTTTTTAATGTATTCTATAAAAGGTACATGACTATTGCCAACCTCGAAATAAATACAAGGTAAACAAAGACTATGTTTGTAGCTCAAAATGTTATAGCAATTACATCCATACACCAAGAGCAAATATTAAAATATTGATAAGCACCTTAACCGATTATCTCAAGGCCCAAGATAATTTCAAAATTACGTTGATGACATCTAATTGACTCGAAGTCTCCTGTTTGCTTCATACTGATCAAATGTGTTTCATATTATGGTTAGCAGAGGACGTATTTATAGAGCAGAATGCAGAATGTTGGAAGGATTGAAAGATTGAATGCGAATATGAGCACTTTATGATGAATATCAGCTGTAGGTGAACACTTGCCTTGTCTTTGCATGTGTTTGTGAAGGGCGCCGCCCGGAGGGCAGGATACGCTCACCTTTTCACGAACACCTGATATGATCACTATTTGATAGTGATTCATAAACACATGATATGATATAGACGGTATCGTCCAATGGACTTTGCAGTGGAAATATCGTATGATAATGATTATGTCATTACAAGACAAAGCAATAGGTTTATTTGGTATCAAGGCATCATGGCCAAGAGTACAAATGGTACATACAGCTTTGTTTGTGCTTGGTCAGGTCGAAAATATTTTACCCTATTAAACATCTAATCCTTATATTTCCTTTTAAGTATAGAGCAAGAGACGTTTTTATTTTTGCATTGTGTTTTGCTAGCAGTTGATTATATTTCGATACAGATGGATACACATGGAAAAAATGTTTTCTTTTTTCTGTTTCATAAGGACATATGCGGAAGCAATATTCACTTCTATGTTTACTATTACAGAAAGCCAGGTTGGCACGCATTCGAATGGCAAAGAATGCCAGCGGTGCTGCTTTCTTGAACAGCAAGAAACGAGCGGAGGAAATATTGATAGCAAGGGAAAGTGGATTAGAGTTAGACGAATACAAGGAGGACATATTTGAGATGCAGCATCACCATCTGTTAAGCTGTCTGGAGAAGACGACGGTAAGTTAAGCCTGCAGTATGCATAAGTCATATAGCTTCATGGTCTCCGTGTAAACTGCTTGTCCACTGTATCATCCTGCGCTTGTGTGTACTATCTGGTTTGGCTTGTGATACAGTCATTTCTGTCAGTCATGAAACAGGTATGTGTCTTTAATGTATACCATACCCACGTTATATTTACCCAATACAAACATGCTTTGTATCGTGTAAAAGAGGGCGAATCTAATTTAAAGGTCTTTTGTCGACATTGACTTTATTAGGACTAAAATGCTTTTGTGTTGGTATGGGGAACATGAAGACACATATCCATTTCAACGTGCCTGTGTAATGCACCGTACATATATTTATAGGGCTAGGTCTAGTTCATTGCAGTGCTTGAAGATTGTTTTAGCGTCCATACAGTATAGTATTGCACTAATCTGATATACTTCACAATAACGCTATTTACTCTCAGAGTGTTTGGATTTATTTTCGTTTTTGTAGATATTTTAATGTGACTAATTTCTTTTCTGTATTACACGATTCAACATAGAGTTGCGTTAGTAGCGCGGATTTCCGTATGTTTGACACAGAAATAGTTTTAGTTTACTCTGTGAAAGAATTTAATATGGATTGTTATTTTGGTATGCAACCATATAGATGCATTTTTTCATGTAAACGCATGTTAGTATTGCAGTCGATGAAAGTTTAGTCTTTGGAATGGAATGCAGTTTTAATACATAATGAAACCACGTATGTTTGAATAATTAAAAATAGGTTCTGTAATGCGTCATGATGTTATAAATAATATAATATAGTTATATATTATGAGCATATAACATAGCTTGAGTTTTAAGACACTTTGTAGTGTCAATATAATATATTTCATAGGCAATATATATCGTATATCCTCTCCTTGTGTGTGTCTATTCATGTAGCCCACAGTATATCGTATATACATGTACATGAATACTTGAAAATATCTTATCAGTGGAGTCACTGCGAAAACATAACCTACCGTGAACTATGTGTATAAACCATTCCTTTTATCATATCCTTTTAAACCTGCTCAGTACATTGAAAACGATATTTTCAAGTATTTGCATTATTCGTATAATCAGAATATATATATATATACATATATATATTTATATATATGTTTAATACTTGTCGTTCGTTTCAGCAATATAGTTTATATAGCTTATGTTAGACATGAATAGATCCCGCATGATCCCAACCCGTGTTAACATACTCGTGCATGATGTTGAAACATCAGACATGACCATACCCAACCAAGAACACCTCCACAGTTTAAAACGATCACAAAAGCTTTTTAAAATAACCCTGGGCCTTTATATACACATCATTTATTTATACATTGACTCGCAAGAGAATCTAGGAGCATAATACTACTTTGCTAAGTGGTCCAAGTATTTTTGTAGATAAAACTTACAAATACATAGAGATATCACACATGTACATAAATTTACAATTTTATTGACATTCGTATTTAATGTAATTTACAAAGAATAACTGAGACTATAGATACGACCTTTTTTGCGATATGTAATCATTTTATACACAAACCTATTGGTTCATTTGTAAAACAATGACACATGTCTACACTTAAAGACAACATGACAATCTTTAAGAGGCACAAATGAATAAAAGTTCAATGATAATTTATTCATTACCTTACCATAACCTCCGAATAACTCAGAACATTTTTATTTTGTGAACTATGAACTATGAAAAGAAGACATTAAAAAATTAATAAATGCATTATGCTTTACCCAGAGTGCAGTGAAATTGTTTTGGTAGAACAGTCCCATAGATACCCCATTTAACCTGAATATTCTACAAAATAATCGTTATTAGTTTTATTGCCCTTATCCGCTTGATTTAGTCCTTATACTGCCCTAAAACAATCAAGACTAGCTAATTGCACTAGATTCCTCTTTATATGTGTATTTCTTCCTTTCATCTTTATCCCTGCGTGAAGGCACTACACATAATATAGATATTTGACAATGCGCAACGTTGCAAACCTGTTGAACACGAAATTCATAAAATGACTTACAATTACCTGGTCACCATCGTGTTTACTTAAATCTTTAAATACATTATGCAAACGGTGGTAATACCGGTGAAATGTTTTAAAATATATGTCATTATAAGACACTATAATTTATTACAATATGTTTAATTATAACTAATTTAAGATTGACATTATGAACCTTTAAGAAAGGTTGACACATATTTGCACATATACAGCATAGGTGGTCCATATTCAAAATGCCAATGGAGTCACACCCACTAGAAGTGGCAATATGCACCTTTCCTCTCCCTCCTCTCTGTAGAACAATATCTTATCTGTTTTTCGTCACTGCATTGTGTACCTGACTGGAATCCATATGAAAGCTGTCTCTAATATTATCCATCATTCTCAGTGATATACGATTTACAAGCTTGTACATTTGTTCGCATTCTAAATGAGTATAGTAATCCTTGATTATCATTTCATATGAATAACATCAACTTTTAACCTGAATGCCATGTATCATAAAAACTTCTTAACTGTAATGTAATAACTGCTTTAGTTGCGAATGGTGTAGAAATGTATAAACATGCTGACCCGCTATTTATTTCATTCGAGACAGCTGTCATGCTTTGTAAATTTGCAATGTTGTAATAGCCTAAATGTGAGACTCTATGTGGAAAATGAAAAGACGTATTTCTAGAAAATATGTATTATACATATTTTTTCCCATAGAGTCTCATACGATATACATTGTCCTCTGTATTCAGTAGTCAGTTGTCCAGAGAGACATCCTGTCACGTGATAAATGTTTGAACAAAACACTAAACAAAAACTAAAGCTTCGCATTGTCGGTTGAAAATTTTGTTTTGCAGCCAGTTAGAAAATATGTTTGCAATAGAATAAGCTATTGCACACGCTAGTTTGGGTGTGACTCCCTGTCCCCGCCCTCCCCATCCCGACGCCTGCCGTGGAGAACTAAACGCTAGGGATAATTACGGTTTGAATCAACAGATTAGAAATAGTTATACACGTATTACACTGTTCACGTTTGTGCGTATGAGATGTTGTGCCTTGCAAACACCTGAATGAGTTGCACGCATTTAAACACATCGACATTATATGTTTACAGCTGTTTATTTCAATGTATTGGGAGTCTAGTTTAGGCAAGAAAAGAAATAAGAAAGGAACGAGTCGTCAGTTCTTTTACAAGTAAGAGAGTAAACAGTTTAGTTTTCAAGAAAGAAATATGAATTATAAAGAAAGCAAGTTTGAGATATTAGTTGTAACAATAAAATCATAGGAAAAGGGAGGAAAGAACATACGGATATGAGTTTTGATAAGAACAGGAAAAGGATTTGGAAATGCAACAATTTGGGGATTTTAGTTTGACAAGAACTGAAAAGCGAATAAGAAAGGAAACAATGTTTGATACTACGATTTTTACAGAAACTCAACGGAAATCAGAAACGAAATCTATTTAGTATTTTAGTTTGACACGTAAAAAGTAGGAATAATAACGAAAACAGATTTGGAATTTCATTTTTTAAGAGAAAAGGAATAAAAAAAGATATATAAGAGTATTTGGATTTTACTTTTGACACATTTGAAATAACAACGAAAAGAGTGTTTGGACTTCATTTTGACAAGACAAAGTCGGGAACAAGAAAGAAAATAGTTCAGGGGTTCTAATTGTTTGATAAAAAAAATATTCTTGAGAGTAAGAAAGGACAGTCATCGGATTTCATTGTTGACAGAAAAAGGAATACGAATAAGAAAGAGGAGATTATTTGAATTTTACTTTTGACAATAGAATGAAAAAGATTTAGAAAGGAAACAATCTTTGGATGCAACATTTTGACAGAAGCCGAAAGGGAATCAGAAAGGAAAACTTGGGATTTTAGTTTGACAAGAACTTAATAAGAAAGAAAGCAATACTGTGGTATTAGTTGTGAATGAAATAGGAACAAGAAAGAAAAAGTATGGGGATTTGAGTTTGACAAGAACAGGAAAAAGATTTAGATCTTGTGATTTTAGCTTGACAGAAACTTAAAAACGATTACGAAATTAAATAATGTTGGATACTACCTTTGACAGAAGTGAGTGAGTGAGTTGGGTTTAACGCCGCTTTTAACAGTATTCCAGTTACATCGCAGCGTGTCAGCTTAATGTGGGAGGAAAGCCCGAAGTGATGCAGGTCTCAGACGTTTACCACTTCGGTGAAACCCACGAGCATGGGTATGGTGCTGACAAACCTAGAAACATAATCGGGGCCAACCGGGATTCGAACCCACAATCATAGGTTTCTGGCGTGCCCAAGGGACGCAACTCTGCACAGCGAATCGCGGCGCCTTAGACGACTGGGCCACCCGTGCCCCCACCTTTGACAGAAACCCAAAAGGGAATCAGAAATGAAATATTGGGATTTTAGTGTGAAACGAAAAGAATCAGAATAACAAGAAAACAGTGTTGAGATGTCAAGTTTTCACAAGAAAAGGAATAAGAAAAAGATATATGGGAGTCTGGGGAATTTACTTTTGACACAAGAAATTGGAAATGACAGCGAAAAGAGTGTTTGGACTTCAGTTTTGACAAGACAATGGTATGGATAAGAAAGAAAATAGTTCAGGGATTCTAATTGTTTGATTGAAAAATAACGAATCTTGAGAGTGAGAAAGGACAGTCATCGGATTTCATTGTTTACAGAAAAAGGAATACGAATAAGAAACAGGAGATTATTTGAATTTTACTTTAGACAATAGAATAAAAACATCTAGACATGAAACAATCTTCGGATAGAACATTTTGACAGAAGACGAAAAGAAAACTTGGGATTTTAGTTTGACAAGAATTTAATAAGAAAGAAAGAAATGCTGTGGTATTAGTTGTGAAAAGAAATAAGAACAAGGAAGAAATAGTATAGGGATTCTAGTTTGACAAGAACAGGAAAAGATGAGGATCCTGGAATTTTAGCTTGACAAAAACTGAGTGTGTGGGTGAGTTGGGTTTAACGCCGCTTTAAACAGTAATCCAGTTATATTGCGGCGTGTCAGCTTAATGTTGGAAGAAAGCCCGAATTGATGCAGGTCTCAGACGTTTACCACTTCGGTGAAACCCACGAGCACGGGTATGGTGCTGTAAAAACCTAGAAGACAAAAACTGAAATACGAATACGAAAGGAAATAGTATTGGTTACTACTTTTGACCGAAATCCAACGGGAACAGAAATGAAATAAACGGATATTAGTGTGAGACGCAAAAAGATAACAAATAAAACAGTGTTTACACAAGAAAAGGATGTAAAAAGGTATTCGGGATTTACTTTTGGCCGAGACAATATGAATCACAACGGAAGGGTCTTTGGATTTTAGTATTGACAAGGCAAAGCTACGAATAAGAAGGAAGAAGTCTAGGTATTTCAATTATACACAGAAAACGTATTCTTAAGAGTAGGAAAGGACACTGACTGTCATCGGATTTTATTGTTGACAAGAAAAGGAATTCGAAAAAGAAACAAAAAGTATTTGAATTTTATTTATGGCATTAAAATGAATAAGATTCAGAAATGAAACAATCTTTGGATATTACATTTGACGGGAAACGATAACAGAGCTGTTATACACTGTTTTGAGTCCTTTCAAACAAGAAACGAAATATGAGAAGAGAAATATACGATGTATATGTTTGATAGAACAGAATTATGAATAGTTGAAACACTGTTAAGATATTTGTGATAACCAGAATAGAAATGTAAAAAAGAAATCATATGATATTGATTTTTTTGTTTTGACCAACAACGAAAAAAATAAAATAAAAAGCGACAAAAACCTTATCCATAATCATAAGAAATATTTACGAAAACAACAACTTGTTGTCATAAATGAAAAAGATACAGTCTAGGAGATTTAGTTTGAGCCAGAAAAGAATCATGAATAAGAAAGCAACAAGTCTTGGTTATATTTGGCTAGAAAATGAACGAGAACGAGTCTTGGGATTTCTTGAGAAGGGTAACGTCTTGAAGTTGTTGTTTCCAGAAGACAAGTAATTGAATCACACTTTTTATGAAGTGCAGTTCACCCTGAACATATATATGCATATTAGGTCGCCAGACACGGTACAATAACTTGCAATAGCGTTTCAAGTTTAGCAATTGGATGTAACGTAAGCACGTTGACTGTAAAGTAAACACTTAAAATACGGACCAATGACCTTATATACATACGTGATGTATTCAGATTAAGCCAATTATGGATCTACTGTCGGTAAAATATGAAACCCTGAAACACAAAATATAAAACGTCAACGACAGAAATAACCATTGGGCGTAAAAGCCTCACATGATCGAACACTCATTGTTAATATAACCCTGGTATAGCCTAATTTTCATCATCTTAGATTATTCAGTGTATTATATCTCCATTCTATTAGGATCAATACCCAGGACACAATCGCACCACAGCTTGTTTTGAGCCTGATAAAAGTAGCTGTCCAATCACGATACTCACAGACCTTCTGCTTTACGTCAGAGATGAAGATAATGAAGATGATGAAGAAGATGACGTATTTCCGAAACGATGCTATGGTGGCGAAATGGTCTACTTATATTATTGATCCCAACAGAATGGGGATGTAATACACTGGATAATCTAAAAACAAATCTACAAAGGACAAACTGCTGTGACAACTTAATGACTGCAGACAAAATCCAACATTAATACATAGCCTGTAGAACCTACCCTAAGTGCAGTTGTTGAGTTGAGCCTAGATAACCTTAGTGAAACAAAACCCTGCTCGGCGTGGCCACGATAAATACAAGTGACGAGAAGTTCTTCTGTCACTACAGGAACGGGAATTCACAGAACTGGAAATGACATTTAATGGAGCACCCACCAAGCCATCTGAGACCCCCCCTCCGTCTCCCGATCCCTCCCTGGCCTCGTTACAGAGACGGCGAACTACCGGTTGCTGCGCACGCAGGTTTTCACCACATCGAAGCTTTCTTGTAAATAAAGTAATTAAAATAAGAATAGATTTTTACGGTTTGCTTCAGTTACAACTTTGATTATACGCACGTCTTTACAAATTTCTCGCACAGTGATTCTTCTTTAATTTCTATAGTAAATATCAATCCATGTCAAATGTAGACCTAGATAGAATTTAGTTTCTAGTTTAGTTTGTTCCCAGTGAGAAGGTAAGTTCTTCTAAGTTAACTGGAATCTTGCTACAACGAATCTTGTTCAATCTGCATTCTGGATGATGATCTGAAATCTCAAAATTCATCTTCTATCCAAGAGATGCCCGTGAAGCATGCACGTTCTTAACATGTATTTTCTACATTATGCACAATATTGTGTATGTTTGCTCTTAATAACAATCTGAAACTACGTTCCTTTTCAGGGTCGAACACACGATAGACATGCCTTGGAGCAGGAAGAGCTGAACGACATTCAAATCCGACTTCCCACAATAAACCGATCATCTCGCTCAAGCCTGAATGCTGTTGAGTGTACAAATAGTAAATCTAACAATACTCTTACCGTGACAACAGCCATAGTGACACTCCCCACTCCAAGCACCACCTCAGAGACGGAATCATTAAAAACCCAGAGTACAAGTGGGACTATGTCTCCTCCCACGCAATCTCAGAACCCTGGAGTTGTGAGGATATCTACCTTGTAACAGCATTTCTGGGCATTCCCATGTAGAGTAGAAATTTTCAACCACCTTGTTTATTATGACATTTTTATCAACTTCAAGTTTATACGCGTGATTGTGATACAAGGCGAGTCACTGAATTTCTTGTGGATGGTAAGCATTATGACTTTTTCTTTAATTATCTTCCCATTGGTGATACTGTGTATCTTTTTGCTACCGAGGAGTAGTTGTAGATTTTATCAGCCAGACATGAGATCGGAAACAATTTGATTCCAAGCCATGATACAGCACTGAGCAAGGTGAATACATGATTTGAGTGAGGAGTATGACGATCTACCTATTCTTATCGACCATGCATATGTGTGTGGTTATGAGAAAGGAACGATTCTGGATCTGTGTTGATGGGTCGTACAAGATGTTTATTGCCTGAATACAATCCACTGAAAGGTCATGTGATTTGTACGCAACTAACCACGTGATACACCACAAAGATGGCTGTGCGTTTTACCACGTGGAAGTTTCAAAAGTGTATTTCATGCATTATCTACCCCGGATATTCCAGTGAGAGCTGCAATTTTCACAATCTTTGAACCTCGAGGAACGAGCACCGAAAATCCCAAAGTCGGATACCATTGGATAGAATGTCGAAGGGAGCGTTCAATTGTGATTGCGATACTTTTGATATTATGGGATGTTGGTTTACAAGTTCCTAACTCGCCTTCGTGGCGGTCCTCGGAGATGCAATGTTTAAGCTTTACAATGCTCCAGTACTTTGTTTGAACTGTTGAGTGTCCTGTACATATTTTCTAATTTATTTATTTTACAATTTTTGCATATCATTTTAATGTGTAACGCATCCTGATCTCAACGTCCTGGCGGTCCCTGCCAACACGAGTCTGTACCGTACAGTGTACGGAGTTTGTACCGTACAGTGTACGGAATTTGTGTCGTACAGTGTACAGAGTTTGTGCCGTACAGTGTACAGAGTTTGTACTGCACGGTGTACAGAGGTTGTGCCGTGCGGTGTAGAAGAGTGTGCCGTATGGTGGACAGAGCTTGTGCCGTACAGTTCACGGAGTTCGTACCATACAGTGTACGAAAGTTATACCTGAAGGTATAGAGGTAGAACCGTACAATATGCGATATGTACCGTAATTGTACATCATCTGTACCATGCAGGATACTTAATCTGTACCGTACAGTGTACAAATTCTGTTCTGTACAGTTTGCAGAGTCTGTACGTACAATGCAGGCCGTAGCCTCCCGGAAAAGCAGGAAATCTGTATCAAATATTTATGGTCGACAAACTGTTGTCAGAGCGTATACGAGATTTCAGGCTCTTATCAGAACTATTGCCGGTCGACAGAACCTTGGGGTCGTTACTGCTAAGACTAAAATCTATAGTTACAGCTAGTTTATCCATTGCTTTTGCTCACATAACATAGAATACAATTCTAGAATGTACGTTGAACTATTTTTTGTATATTTGTTGTAATCAGTGTAACACAAATTAAAAGGTTTGTAGCGTAGATTTTTAGATGTCTTTTATAAAACGTAGTGTACTTTCAACTTAATTGCAAATATATTTGATACAGATTTCCAAATGTATTGAGAGTATATGACATAGCAGAATCATATGTACAATGACACATTTCATTAAATGGAAACTTAAAGGGCAAGTTCACACGGAAATTAACCTATTTTTCTTGTACTTTTTCCACATTAAAAGTGTTAACCTAGAATTGTCATAGACAAAAATATAAAAATATCACAATTAATTAACATATTTTTCGCATTAAAACGATTTATATTTTTCACATTTACCGAGTGTTCTATTTCCACAACAAAAACACCATGGCTTATGCCCCTTGCAATATGACGTCATTGGTGCCAATTGATAAACATTATGACGTCATCATGCTTTGTTAGAGCCGCTTCACGTGGTGTAGGTCTAGGTGTGTGATTCTAGCGTCTCAGATGCCAGCCAGCATAGTGTTATGCTGAGTCACCACTGCGCCGGAGTGTGTCGTAGGCCATGTTGTTTTACCGCAAACTGGTACTTGATATCTTTTGCGTTGAGAATAGACAGGGACCCAGTTGAATTGGCACCAATTACGTCATAATCTAAGGGGGATAACTCAGGCCTGTTTAGCTCGAAAAACGAAGGCCTCATAACGGCATATCATTTTCACACTATTGTGAGCTTCCTACTTTCACTGTGAAAAAAATGAGTGTATATTTTCAAACACAGATACTAATTAATTCTAAAATTGCGTTTTGTTTAGAAAAAGAAAGAAAGTTATTTTTGCGTGTACACTTCCCCTTTAACACTGTACAGTAATGTGTAAATTTCCCTCATGTTTACATTTCCATTTTCGGAAACGTGTATATTGGTGGATGTAAGCAGTCATTTCAAGACACAAACCACAGGGAGTGTCCCTCGTTATAACATAATGAGAATCTATACGACTGTGCTTGTGCTAATATTGTTTTTATCCTTGATGGGGAGAGGTCTTTTCATAATATAATTAAGCAGTGGTTTCATCTTTGTTTCTTTGCTTGAGGAGTTTTCGATACCTAGTACCCCATATAGTATGCACCCGTCTGCGTCTATTTGTATTCACCTAGTTTTAACCACACCCAGTGTAGATATCACAAACAGTTTGAACATAGTGACAGATTTATATCATTTTGTTGTTAATTTTCATATTTTTTTTCATTTTCTTGACAAACATTGCATACCTCATTCTTTCTCATGAAACCACATCGTCTTATCTTCATCTGCCCGAAATCTGGCACGGGATTGTCAAAAAGGGGATTATATTATTAATCTTCCATTTCCACTACAAGCTATATTACTAACATTAACGTCCACACAACAAAAGGTAGAATTTGCAAACCTCTGGTATTCATGGAAACAAGTGCTCTTTCTTTCGAACAGCTTGCTTTGGTTCCAGAATATGTAATTCTAGACTAGTTTGCAAACTATACTTTTTGAGAAGTGACATTTAAATTTGAAATTGCTATTGAAGTTTTCTGGAAGAGTGTTGTTGCTCTGGAATGTTTCGTCCTAGGGGGTGTTAGAATCTAAGTTTACAAATACGTCCTTGCACCCACCTTGTCGCCATGGTAACCATGAATTCATTCAACGTCATACTCTTCATTTTGCTGTGTATGGCTGCGCCAACTGAACAAAATATGACAGATTAATCTCAGCTGTAATAATATGTGTTTATATTTCAAATCACATCAAGCATTTCAGATGGCTCAAAAGAATTTAATGACATTTTAAATATTAGTATGCTGACAATTTTGTATAAAATATGTCCTTCCCGTGTCTTGATATGAAGAAACATTCACGAGAACAACGTTGATAAATTAATACAAGTGGTTGCAACAACCTGGTATCTTTGGTTACAGAAATTTAAAAAAGTCTCACGCCTTTGTGTAATAACTAGTGGGTTTTGATACACATTGTCAGATTGTGGTTTCTAATAAATGAAATATGACAGATCTTTCCCTACTGAATGACCATTGTCACTTTGTTATAGATGAGATAGCTCTCTCATTTTACTGTTTAAGTCTAGCTCTAAACTGATATGATATAATGTTCTTAATGGTCATAATATGTATCCAGAACCAATCGGTATATGGTAATAACATACTGTAATTAAATTCGAAACAAAATTGTCAAAGTTAGTGAACCTTTGTAGGTTTCTGAGAAAATACTTATGTTCCATTTGATTTGTATGCAGCACCGTCCATTTCTTATGATTATATAGTTCCGACATAATTATGGTACTGATACCAAAATAAATGCTTTTTATTGCGTTATGATTTAAATGATATATTAGTTCACTCACAGTATGGTGTGACATGATATGTTATGGCAGAGATGGTAAAACGTACTATGTTTCAAGCGAGGTTTCTTCAAAGTGATATTCCTTATCATTCCATGTAAAACGTATTCTATATACTGTATTGTGTGCTACCTCCAGACCCGGCAGCTCATGGAAACCGTACTAATCAAAATATAGATATTCTGGAAAGCTTTAGATACCGAGGACATAAACTGGCCAATAGGTTCCTGAAACGTATTGCTTGCTTATTGATTGATACATTGATGTTTCGTGGTCGTAAACCCTTGAAAACCAAGAAGTATATAGCTCAACTCTATCTGTAAGTGGCATTGCTAGAGAAAGGTTTGAAAAGTAAATACATGGAAAAGACACGTTAGCGTTTACCTTCTGTTAGAAGCAAGTGCCTGTGTCACGAACATGCAAAGCAAGAAAGTTGAATTAATAACCGTGGTTGCTCAAATAAATTAACAAAACTCGAAAGAATGAAGAGAATTTTCCTAGTTTGAAAGATGCAAATATATATCTACCAAACAACCTGCAGGTATCTATCTTCAGAATATGCGTTTGAAAAGAGTTCCGTGTGTTTCTAAGTGAGGAACATTTAATTCTTGCCTCGACTAGGTTTGCATTGCACTGTGACTTATATTATTTCATAATAACCAGGTAAATAGAATATAGACAAAACATGCTGCCTCTCCAGGTGTAATTATGCCATATGAAGTCAGGCTAGACACCAATAGGACACTAAGGCCAGTTTGAACACCGTTGCAGGAGCCATAAAAATAACAACACTGTCCTTTACCATCTAAACATTTAACCGTGGGAACGACCGCGTGAAGGTGAATGGAGATAATTCCGTATGATTCCTTAATCCGGAAATGTGTTAATCCTGATTTGAATGGAAAAGCTACCCGATTAACGGGTTCCACTGTATATCTAAGTCGAGATTAAATTTGTGAAATGGGTATAACAGATGTACATCCTAAGTGTATAATAGAATTTCAAGACTGTTTGTTGAATATTTACGACACATTTTATCTCAGTGCGATGTAAAATCCCTTGTTGAGTTTTTCCACACATTTGTTGTATGAATTGTTGAAGTATTAGTGATGTTATGATGTCTTGGATGTGTGTTGAAAGTTGCTGGAATGAGAACAAAGGGTTTTCATAACCATAACTTACGTTAATGTAGATAAAGACAAATACGTGAAAGACGTTTTTGATATTTTCAAACCGCTCAATTTGCAGAGATGAGAAACGCATTGATTACACCTAGGGCTAGACAAATATTATATTACATATATAGACATTTTACTTGTACATGATAATTGAACAGTTGTATTGACACTTGCATAACAATTGAATGTTAAAGAGTTGAAATTTTATAATTATGGATTCTTTAAATAAGTCGTATGACTATTTCTACGAAATGGCATTTATTGAAATTATTTTTTCACTTATTTTAAGAAATGAAGACGTTATACAACTCCAGTGACATACTAATCCAACGTTCAAAGTGGTAAAAACTAGTAAACCATCAGGGAAAAAAAGTAAGGTTTCAAAGTATATTCTCATGGTATAATTGATCGAAGTTACCATTGGAACCATACAGACACTTATAAAATCGGCATGAGGCATTATTCAGTCCTCAACACCACTTGTGATACGAAAATTGTTAAGCAATAGAACACTACTGTAGTTAGAGGAAGACATCAAGCGAGTGATTAAGAGTGGAAGACACGTAACACGTGACCCAAATACGTCACCGTGGAATTCCTCACGCGTCACCAGTGTTACAACTACCAGTTTTAAACAACCAGAGACGCTCAAAATAACACTATGATCTAACGTGCAGCGCTTTTATTGGACGCTTGATAGCTGCCCTTAACAATCACGGATTTTAAAGTTATGGTTGCTTGATTACGCAAGTGTGTAACCTCTGCCAGTGAGTAAATTGTAATCAGTGTGTAATGGGCGTTGGTATCATTCTCATTTCATATATTTTGCATCATATTTTTAATACTCAGAAACATTTGTTCGGATTTTTTTTATTTTCTGGAATTTGATCGCCCCATGTTTGAATTGGAGCAAAACAGAATTTTTTTATATGCTTCTTGGTTTATATTTATTAAATTTGTTCATGGTTTATATCCATGCCAGCTTCATTTTTTATTGCTTTTATTAATCTTCTTGAACTCGTTTATTCTTTTTTTCGTACATTATGTTATATTGTAACCATCATTTTGAGACATTCAATATATCCTGTTAATTTCAGTGATGGTAGGGACAAAATATTCTCATTTCTTACATTGACCACCCGTATGTGTATCATAGAGAACGAAACACCCACCTACTTATGATTGAACAAAGTTTATCAATATATGATGAAATTATCCATTTTACATCAATGTTTTCTTTTAGCGTTTTTTTGCGTTTTGTACAAGAAATTACCATAACGATCAGAGTACAGTAACACCTTGTATAAAGTGACATTTTCACATACCCATAGCGAGGCTCCATCCTTTACAGTATATAAATGTGAGTATTTTTGTCAGAAGTAGTAACTTTTATTCGGATCACCTTTAATCTAATAAACGGTCGTAATGACTTTCGGTTCATCTTTACTGAACAAATCAGAAAGGGATCATGAATATTTTGGGGTATGTTTTTTCAGTATTGACGATTGAGCACAGAATTTCATAAAATTATCCCCCACAACATTCATGATCCTTAACTTGTGTTTGTTCAGTGTGTATAAACAAAGACATTCAATGACATGTTATGATTCATTGTCTAACAAACAAAATATTGTAGACTATTTGTGATTGCATATCTTTGTCTTCATGTACAAAGCGGTTATACCGACTAATGTTACCAATAGTTGATCAAGTGTTATTTAATGTTTATAACAGTTTTCAACTGGTCTTCACATACCATCATCCTTCATTCAAAGGTTTGCTTAGCAATTTTTCTAATTACAACAGTATCAAGTATAAGACCACTTGTTATATTGTAGGTGGTAGAGTGTTTTTCATGTTAACTAATGGAAAACTATGTTGTACCATTTTTACTGATATTACCACTGTGTATGTGTGGGATTGTCTCGCATCTTCATCCTCTCCCAGAGACGAATGCTACCAGCGTATGGGATGAAGTTATGGTCTGTATGGTAAGAATGGTTTATAAGATCTTAGCCTAATTTATACTGCTCCAACTCTTCCCCTTTAGCTAATTTAGAGTCTGCCAACCACGTGGGAAGACGATCATGTTCCGCTGTTGACCTTGACAGTAGTCTTAAGTGAAACATATACTTCTCATAAAATGCATTAAACTGTGAGTTTTTCTTTTTGTAGATTTGATATGTATTTGATTACATTTTGCACTTAATTGTCTTTCACAAAGTCTTTCATAAAGTAGCCTGGGAAATAAGGAATTATATTATGCACCTTACTGTTGTGAGTTTTTTTTTCTTCATGTTTTATCGTGGCTTCTGGTCGAGTCGGTTTTGTACTGAGTACTAGATGAAGTGTATACACAGTCTCCATCGTGGCTGATGAAGAAAACATCCTCCGTATCACCCCATGCTTCTGGTTGTATTTCAGTACAGGTCACGTGACTCTGACAATAATGGCCGCGACTGGACTAACATGATACCTTCTTATATTGGTGATTACTTCATTACAGCTGATCATTTTAACTCGTGTATCTCAGGATTTTGTCGGTAGTGTTAACTTTAGATTCCACATCCAGAATATATGCTTTTTGTTTGTCATTTTTTTAATTCACAGAATATTTGTTAATTTACTGGAGAATATCTGAGATTCGACTGGTAGTTTTTCTTAATTTTTAATCTTCTTTCTTCACACATTGTACATTAGGGTCGCTTAGTGTACTGCTCAGGCCAGACCACCCGGAGCCTTACAGTTCTGTCGACTTGCTATAGTGTTTATGGCATCCTTGTTTAAATTAACCACTTCATAAATCCCTCTCTTAGTATTACTACCTTAACACAGAAAATCCTACAAGGGAGATAAGTGTGTCTGACTGGCAGATATTCAGGGTACACCTGAAGGCCCATTCCCCACGTTTCATACTCGTGGGCATTCGGAGCCAAGGTTCTGGTGCTCTACAGAACTTCCACGTTTAATGAGCTACATTTTTATTCCAACATACATCTTTATTGAGCACTCTCGCTACCGCCCTCTCAGCTAGACATTGCTTGGTTGCTACTGGTGAACATTGTTATTCTACAATTTCCAGGTATTAATAAAAACCCTTAAAATTAACATGTTTGTTTTTATTTTGCCTGAGGATTATTTCGACAGCATCAGGGTCTTTGGTAATATTTATGTCGACACACCCCAAAATAAGTGAGTGAGTGAGTGAGATAACGTGGATATGCTGCTGAGAGGCCAAGCATCAACATTATGATGAAGATAAAAAGATCATGCTAACTTTAACTACCAAGATGTAACACAACGTAATTCTTTGAAATCTTTCATTCAACGCTGATGCGGCATTGAGCAATATTCACTCCCTCACTCTTCAGCTCTATACACCTGTATGCATTTTGAACATGTATGATGCATTAATAATAAAAACACCATCAGGTATAAAGGAGTAATGCAAACATGAACACTGTATATAGCAACCATGACAATTACTGTTCTCTGCCAATATTAATCTAACCAGGCCTGATTGAGTAGCTACGTGCAAATAATTGTAGAATTTAATAATAAGACGATTGGGGGCAGTAATATAACAGGTTTAAGTTGCTCCAATTTTGCTTATTCGCTAAATTCCAACGTTTTGACTTGTCGGTGTTACGAGGAGATTTCCATGTCGAAACGCAAAGATTAACGGTACGTAGAGAACTAAATCAGAAATCAGTAAATGGCCACACAAGATGAATGAATAATCAATAAATACATTGAAACACACAGATTTAGGTTTACAATCACCCAACAATGGGTCAAAGAAGAGGCATCAGTAGAACGTAGCCTGGTGCACCCACGTATGTTCAGAACTTGTGCCACTGTCTTGACACCAGAAGAATGTTGAAAGCTGGCATGAATTCGGTGTTGTCAAATAGGTTTCCAATCGCGCACTTCCCCAGCAGATAAGAATCAAGTCAGGTCGTAAAAGGCCTCGAATCGACCTCTCCTCGCTCTTATATAGGTACAGCCAGCTGTTCAGAAACTGTCCCATCCCGAATCGTCGCGAACGATCAAACCTGCCATTGTCGTTAACATAACCAGGGGCAGATAACTCTAATAATCGCTTCCGCCGACAGCTCTCGACATTTTACCAGCACATCAATCATTTGCTGCCACTGACATGTACTACAAATTAACTTACACCAGTCTTCACTGGGCAAAAGCCAAACGTCGGATGTCTAGATTCTTTCAATTGGGGAGTGGGGTGTTACCGGATGTGCAATATTCGCAAAAATCAGGTTTTCATGGCTATTGCAGGTAAAGTCAATTCACTGTTCTAATCGCCCACTGTTTTTGTGTTGGTGTTGCTCTCAATGGACGTGGGATTTTGGACATCAAACGTGTTGATGTTGTTGTGTTTACATGGACCTTGATCATTTATGAATATACAAATTCCATTGCTTGTACTTCATTCACATCTCGGAGTCGCTGGGTAGGAGATATGTTAGATATGTATAAGGATTTTTAAACTCGGTTAGTTGTGCACCAGTTCTGACGATTGGATTTCAAAGCATTTTCAGTAAATGTAGAGGAACGTGAACTATTTGGGGAAACTATTATTACCATAGGAATTGGAAAAAAGGACGTATGATGCTGATGCTTTTGTGTGCAATACAGAGCTCCACATAAGCTGCGTGTCTGCGTAAAATACGCATCAGAAATGCAGAAATATGCAGTAAAATAAAATCCAAGCGTATCAAATACGCAACGAACATTACAGATACGCTACAAAAATAAAACTTGTGCGTATCATCAAAATATTGTGAAGTAACCCTGCGTATTCGATTAGCAAATCAACAACTTATTTTGAAATTATAGACGGGCATTCCGCCAACCTTGCCCAACTCCACGATGACAGTTACATCATGATCATTTGCCATCACACTTTCTTGTGGAAGTATCTGGTATTTTTGAGTCCTATAAAGTTCTCGAACCCGCACGACACCAGTTTGCAGGGACTAGATGAATAGTGTTTTTAAATATTTAACTTAAATACCCACATGTGTAAAAACTAGTGGGTAACAGAAATTTGAATACCCAGATAGAATTACTGATACCCAATGATTTTAAAATGCATGGGTAAAATACCCACAGCACCAAAAGCTTATCTGGAGCTCTGGTGCAATAGTTGTACAGAGTTGATACTTGGCGTTCATTTGCCGAAAAATGTTGGCGCAACTGTCTTCAGAAGTATGCATGAATTATTAAATAAGAATCATTACATCTGAAATCAAAGCAGGATCAGATAAATTCAGTACAAGTATGGAGAGTTGAAGTCTTGTGACATTTTGTCATACTACCAGCTCATGAGATAGTCATTCCTGCAAGAACACAGTCACAGCAAGATATAAGACTTGTAGGATTGACAGAGCCAAAGTGTCATATCATGGAAAAGAAGGAAATCATGGCTGCCAAACTTCTAGCACAACCACGATAAAAAGTCAAAATTATTGGGTGAGCATTTAAACGGGTCTTCGAGTTTTCCTCACCCAATGGTACAAGGCAAACCACTTGGGGCTTTCCTCCGCAATTACGTTGACATGCGGTGACACAATTGAAACATTTAGGGACGCTAAAGCCATTTCACTTATTCACTCATTCACTCCAAACGAATAAATCCCGGCGGAGTTTTCAGATGTCGCGTCATTCCAAATGAATTTACTCATTTTAAAGAAATCATTCAACCAATAACTAAACACAATTTGTCACGGGAGAATACGTTTAGAATGTTGAGCTGCTCGGCCAAAGAAGCTCTTGGTACTGGTGTGTTGAATGTATGTACACTGTATGTTAATATGCTATGAATGTAATTGTACTAAACTGCTCAAAAGAAAGTGTTCAAACATGTTTGGTGGTGGATAAAAATTAAACAAACAAGAGGGTGGTGTATTTGATACGAGTATCACATTTGTGTTTTGGACCTTTTGTATACTGTGTTTTGGCTATTGTTTTAGCCCAGTAAAGTTTTGATAATGTTTGTAATTGTTGATGAAATTTTGTGTTGTATACTTTCTTTTGCCCGGAGGTTTACTAAATCACTGAACTTGTTCATACTAATTACATATTATGGAAAAAAATGTTTGTTTTTTGTTTAACGCCATACTCGGCAATATTTCAGCTATATGACGGCGGTCTATAAATAATCGAGTCTGGACCAGTCAATCCAGTGATTGACATCATGAGCATCCCACGCAATTGGGATACGATGACATGCATCAATCCAATCCCGTTAGTCGCCTCTTACGTCAAACATAGTTGCCTCTTACAGCAAGAATAGGTTGCTGGAGACCTATTCTAAACCGAATAGTCACGGATTTATAGAAGAAGTAATCCATTTAAAATTGATGTGATGGGATAGCCTGGTGTTTAAGCATTGCTTCGTCGTGCAGATTATCGGGTTCGATTCCGCACATAGGTACAATGTGTGAATCCCATTCTTGGTGTCAACACCATGATGTATTGGAACATTACCTAAACCAGATAGTCAATAGTGGGATGGGTTTTCAACATTTTAACCCACGATAATCTGGGACCCGAACTCACGATAACCGGATCCCGGCAGCCCTAAGGCCCGTAACTCTGCACAGCGGATTTCGACGCCGTGCCTCCCTTTAGACTTTAATACATGATGCATGATGAGAAAATTATTAGAAAACTGAACTCTCTTTTCTCCGTCATACCAACGTATTTAAAACGCAAAATAATCTATTTGTTCACAATCACAAGTTCGCGTACAAATTAAGTAGCAAACGTACATAACGTCAATGTCCAACTATATTTTCGTTAACACGATGTCACATTGTGCGAATAGGACGTTTATGTATTATTATAGAATAAGGCTTAAGTCTTTCGGATCCTTATTGTGTAAGTGGTCATCCCAGACATAGCCAATATAGACTTCAGAAAAGGTGCTAAGTAATATTACCCTTTTTAATCTCTGCCTCAGCCTGGCAATGACGTTAACACCGGTAATGTCATTAAGACTTGGCTGCTGGCAAAGGATGTCTGTATCATGGTATTATAGGACACTTGTTAGCGTATTCTGATTAACGACTGACTACATTAACCAGCTTCGGATAAAGAACATGTGGCAGATGCCATTTCCGATAACCAATTTAGCCGCTGATGTAAATAACATTAAAGATATGTGATCTGATCAAAGATGTTTCCATCTCTTGGTGCTGTTTGATTGGGTTTGGTTTCTTGTTGTCTTGGAGAGGTGGCAGTTATTATGTGTTATGGGATAGAGACAGGGACAGAGATAGACACAGAGAGTGACAGATAGACAGAGAGAGACAGAGAGAGAGAGAGAGAGAGAGAGAGAGAGTATGTTTTAACGCCGCTTTTTCAGCAATACCACGGCGGGTAACACCAGAAATGGGCTTTACACATTGTACCCATGTCGGGAATCGAAACCGGGTCTTCGGCGAGAGAGAGAGAGAGAAAGAGACAGAGACACACAGAGAGACAGAGACAGAGAGAGGGGGGAGAGAGAGACAGAGAGAGGCAAGCATACAGACAGACAGACAAGGGGGGAGATATGAAATACATCCCCATCGAATAACCGTTTCTTATATATTTTTATCCACCATCAAACATGGAAGTATACTTACTTTCCTTTGTTCTGCAGTTACATATATGTTGCACTCTGCCAATAAAGAGGTTGCACATTCAGACATAAAATACTGATTGATAACATGTATCTGTTTCCAGGCACCAAACAACACAAATAGTTCTATGTGAGTGAGAAACGGCTACCGGCGCGTGAACCCGTGATATGTAATCTAAGGGAGACAACTCTAACGAGACCACATTTAGTATTCTACTTTTAGGTGTCTAATACAAGTGTGCTCATCAGGCACCTTTTATCTATTGTGCTATTATTGTCTTTACATTTTAAGGCATTGCGATTTATAAATAGTGTAATCCCATGTACATGGAATATCAATAAAACAATTTGAAAAATATTAGACTTGATGTTATGTAAATAAACGGATATGAATGCACCCTGGGTATATTATGTCCAATGTAATGGTGTGTAATGTTAAAATGGATACTAAGATTTTGAT